GCTTACACACATGCACATAGATTGCAGATTGTATATATGTATATAAATATATACATATATATATATGTATATATACGCTTATTTTCAGTTCTCATTGTGGCTAGTTTCATTTTCATTTTTGTGTACACGTTATTGCGTTTGTGTTCATACATAAATATGCATCCACGCATACGTACATACATAGATATATGCATGCATACAAACATACATACACATGCATATATGCATGTGTATGTGTGTGTGTGTACATGTTGACATTAAAAAATCTGGGAACCTACGGACTCGAGTACTGCCGGATTCTCGAAAATGCCGGATTTTTATGGTTATATATGCTGTATATATTTAGCAGAAAATAAATGTGTGAACAGTCCTTTAAAGAAAGAAACTCAAGTACTAAATGAACAATAATGCTCACCAACTATTATTATTATTATTTTTTTTTTTGGCATTTCCACTTTCTCCACAATCGACAACGCACGGCGCATTTCCGTTTTACACCACCTCTTTTCTTTACTGAATCCATCACGGGGCTTTGCAGCAGCAAAGACATGATGAAATGGGAAGGATTGAGCAAGATTTCCTGTTAGCATGTGCAAGCAAGACCCAACAGCTGATTCTGGATGACAGCGCGATCAAAATTTATTGGCGACTCCAGAATCAGCTGCGAGGCAATGCAGTGAATTTGATAATGCGTTCTGAACTCAGTGCCGGAAATCTGAAGGAGCCGGATTATCGGTGGCCGGATTTTAAAAATGTTAACCTGTATATATATGTATATATTATAGAGCTCACATTACCCATAGGCCTATTGATTACATATAATACCATTCTGCAAGCCTCCCGCATTGTGCCATCGCTCTGTTTACACGTATACACCCTCTCTCTCTCTCTCTTCCCCTTCCTAGTACAATGCAACACCTCTCCTGTGTAGTCTGAGTAGTAAACTTGCTACAAGTTACCAAGACCTTCGCCTTCACCGCTACCCAAGTTTGCGAGTTGCTGCCATGGACCACTCTACTGTAGCCGATGGGCGGTTGTGTGCAGCCCCATCTGGCGGGAGCTTGCAAACTTGGGTGTGTATATATATATATATATATATATATATATATATATATATATATATATATATAATATCATACACTACTGGACATGGCCCCGCGCCCCCTTGTCTTGCCCCCTCGCTTGATAGCTTTAACCCTCCTAACGTTCAGTGAGCCCCGTGCGCTTTTCAGTCTTTTCCCTCATTTCACAAGATGGAAACCCAGGAGATAGAATAAACACTGGAAGAATTTGAACTGGAAAGCTTATTGGCATTAAGTATAATGTCATCAAGGGTCAAACGTAAGAATGCTGTAGTATCAGGTATTAAAAGAGATTAAGAGAAATAGAGGCCATTAAGGTGCTGTCATACTAGCACTTTTTCCGTAATTTTTTTGATAATTTTATCTAACATCAATACAAACATTCTCGAATATAACTCTTGATTTGACTATGCTTGGCTGAAAAAGTTGACGGAAAAGTTTTCAGACGGAAACTATCATTATCGTCTAACTGGGAAATCGACAATTCGCTCAAAAATGGACAAAATTTCAGAACATTGTCGAAAAATTGACGGAAAAAGTGCTATTGTGACAGCACCTTTAGACCAGTAGCATAGAAAGACAGGGAAAGGGACTCACCTCCACCGCTCTTATAGCACAGGTAAGGGAACCTCCAGAGGTTACCCAGTCCAACAGAATAGCCAATGCACGCCAGCACAAACTGCAGCTTGTTCGCCCAGTTCAGCCGTGCCTGTGCGTCCTCCTTGGTGCCGGGCTGCTCATCCTCTTGGCTATTTCTATACAAAGAATATGAATGATAGATATTTAAACTTGCACTCTGAAAAAATGCGTGAACACACAATCACGGAGACGTTTACCCGGACGTGGAAACTATCAGGATTTTCCCTTGCCTACCTCTTCTGCTCCAGCAGCGTCTCCTGCTCCTCGCTGCTCGTCTTCTCGTCGGGACGGCTCGTGGCGGTGGTGGTCGAGCTGACCTCGCTCCTCTCCTCTCCTTCACACCCGCGCCGCTCCTCCTCCCCCTTAGAATTTCCGACGGGGACTTGACACATGCTGTTCCTCGCTCGGTGTTCAGCGCCGTCAGAAGTCAGTCCTGTCTGGTTGGCCGAGTGCCCAGTGGGAATGGCCTCTCGCCGTCAGCTCTCTTCAATTGCTGCAAGAAGCGATGGTTAAAAGATGTCTTTTCTCCTCAAAGCTATAATAGATCTAGCTACTCAAGCTCCTCGCGACGACCTCCCTGTGTGTACTTTTGCGATGAAAGTTTAAGTTGCACAAGCTGTCTTCACAGGCTTCGACGACAGAATCCCGGGGTAAGATTTATTCCATAGATTATAACTACCGAAAACCAACAAAATTAAGTGTTCAGAAGCAGATCAGACGAAGACTGAAGGAGACCTCGGCAACGCGGTCTTCCCCCCGTGGCGGCCGCAGCTTCAGTGGCACAATAGCATGCTTAGCACATCCTCCTTTATGATATTAACTACGCTTGAGTCCGCAGGTGTGTGTGTTCGTGTGTGTGTGTGTGTGTGTGTGTGTGTGTGTGTGTGTGTGTGTGTGTGCGTGTTTACTTGTGTGCATGTGTGATCAACATTAATGGCAACGATGATAAAACATGATGATAACGAAAAAAGTATAAATCATACTGATAATAATAAGAATAATGATAATAACAATATTAATGATAATGATGATGGTGGTGATAATAATAATAGTAGAGGTAATATTGATATCAATAATGATAACATTAATAATGAAGATGATGATAAATGCATTAAAGATAATAGTTAGACAATTAATATCATTATAATGACAATAACAACAATACTAATGATGACAATAATAATAACTAAATGATAATGATGATAATAACAGTGAAAAAAAATATGATAACATTAATAATGAAAATACTAATAAAACTAATAATGATAATAATATTAATGATAATAACATAGTCTGTGCTTATAATATAACATTGGTAATCATAAAATATCATGACAGTAATCATAATAATAACAATGATAAAGTCATCATAATCGTCGACATCTATATCATCCTATTGATAAGAGCAGAGAATTAACCTTCTGCCTCCCCCCCCCCCCCCCACCCCTTCCCCGGACCCCTTGGCTCCGCTATTTTATTTTATAAAAACTGCAACCACGATTGCCAGTCCCGCAAACTGATGAAATTACCATGACAATAGATTTTTAAAAATTATATTTAATTCAAAGAGTGTTTTATTTAATTCAAAGTGTCTTTTTAAGGACATAGACGATGGAGAAACACTCTTTGATACGTATCATTGGTGTCTGGACTTCTCGTGAAATAAAAGTTGCATCGATTTTAAGAGGAATTTTTGTTTCAAATTGTGCAAGATGTGAGTATTTGATTTACAACGTGTGAATGTGTGTGCCTGTATGTATATATGCTATTCATCATATTTGTGTGTGTGTATACATATACATATACACACACACACACACACACACACACACACACACACACATATATATATATATATATATATATATATATATATATATATATATATATATATATATGTATGTGTATGTGTGGTGTTGTGTGTGTGTGTGTGTGTGTGTGTGTGTGTGTGTGTGTGTGTGTGTGTGTGTGTGTGTGTGTGTGTGTGTGTGTGTGTGTGTGTGTCAGATTGTGACAAAAACTAAAACCGCGCTTTTTCCGCTATTATGTGTTATATTCAAAATCTGAAAGATAACATTACTAATAAACAAAAATAAGTTTGACTGATAACAATAGCATCAATAATATTGATAATGACAAAAGTGACCATAATCATTATAATTATTGTTACTGTAATCTTTATTGCTATTGTTGTTTTGTTGTTATTATCATTATTATTATTATTATCATTATTACTATTAATATCATCATTATTATCATTATTGTAATTCTTCTTATCATTATCATCATTATTATCATTATAATTGCTATCATTATTGATATCATTATTATCATTATATCTATAGTCATCACATCACCATTAACATCATTGTTATTTTATCAACAATAGTGGTATTACTGATTTAATAACTCATCCATATTATTACTCTCGTCATAAATGTAGTGGCAGTAATAATCCCATGAAAATGCCCATAATTAGTCATGAGATTTCCCCGTTCCTCCAGAGAGTCTCCTCGGCAACAAGCGTCCAGCGCCCCCCTGGCTTTTAAAATATCTGCGCTCCTCCGCGGCCCTGACATCGGCCAGACCGAGCGTTCGCATGCATTATGAATCTGGATTATGCGACGGTTAGGAATACCTTCTCACGTTTCAGTTATTTGTTAGTTTTTCTTTCATGCTTGCAATTAGGAAGGGCATTTCGATGCTTGTAAGTGTTTCTACAAGGAGTTTAACAAATGAGAGTATTCAAATCGATCTAAAACAGGAAAACAGAGTAAGAAAACTAGCATCTAGAGCGGCAATTAAAATGATCCTTTTCGCTGGCGACGTTTGGCACCTCGTTCCTTTCCCCTCCCCTGCCATCCTTACGCTGTGCAGAGACATGAAAGCTTCTGTCGCCGCTCGTGCAGCAACAAAGCTGTAGAAAGCTCTCTAACTCTTCAGTTACCAAAAAAAACACGAATTTCGCCCCGAAAGATTGAGGTCGACATTACAGATCACGAGGCTTACATACTTGACGATTCGCAGTCTGTACGAACCTTATCAATTCGCACAGTTAGTGATTCTACGCAATCTCTATAGGTTCACTCTGAACTAGTATTATATGTTCGGTCTGAAAGTGTTACTGTTGGCGAATCGCACCTCCACAGGTGCGAGACGCAGATCGCTTTTTAGCACTGTGTTCACTTAGGGGAGTTACGGAATGAGTGGAGTAAATGAAATACTCTCAGTACTTTCTATTTACTCAGGGAACTATCAGTACATATAGACAAAAGGGAATGGTTGTAAGGAATATATATATATATATATATATATATATATATATATATATATATATATATATATATATATATATATATATATATATATATATATATATATAGGTAAGGTAGTTCCGCTGTTGTACACTCAGACACACAGACACGTTAACACCGGAGGATTGGCACAGGCAGACAGACACGTTAACACCGGAGGATTGGCACACAGACAGACACGTTGACACAGGAGGATTGGCACAGGCAGACAGACACGTTAACACACGGAGGATTGGCACACAGACACGGTTGACACCGGAGGATTGGCACAAGCAGACAGACACGTTGACACCGGAGGATTGGCACAGACAGACACGTTAACACCGGAGGATTGGCACAGACAGACACGTTGTTGGCACAGGCAGACAGACACGTTATTTGGCACAGCAGACAGACACGTTGACACCGGAGGATTGGCACAGGCAGACAGACACGTTAACACCGGAGGATTGGCACAGTTAGACAGACACGTTGACACCGGAGGATTGGCATTTTGGCACACAGACATTAACACAGGAGACAGACACGTTGACACCGGAGGATTGGCACAGGCAGACACGCACCGAGGATTGGCACACAGACAGACACGTTAACACCGGAGGATTGGCACAGGCAGACGTTACACAGGACACAGGCAGACAGACACGTTAACACCGGAGGATTGGCACAGACAGACACGTTGACACCGGAGGACACAAGCAGACAGACACGTTAACACCGGAGGGCACCAGACACGTTGACACCGGAGGGCACAAGCAGACAGACACGTTGACACCGGAGGATTGGCACAGACAGACACGTTAACACCGGAGGATTGGCACAGACAGACACGTTGACACCGGAGGATTGGCACAGGCAGACAGACACGTTGACACCGGAGGATTGGCACAAGCAGACAGACACGTTAACACCGGAGGATTGGCACAGCAGACAGGCACAGTTAACACCGGAGGATTGGCAGACAGACACGCACCGGAGGATTGGCACAAGCAGACAGACACGTTGAACACGGAGGATTGGCACAAGCAGACAGACACGTTAACACCGGAGGATTGGCACAGACAGACACGTTACACCGGAGGATTGGCACAGGCAGACAGACACGTTGACACCGGAGGATTGGCACAAGCAGACAGACACGTTGACACCGGAGGATTGGCACAAGCAGACAGACACGTTAACACCGGAGGATTGGCACAGGCAGACAGACACGTTGACACCGGAGGAAAGGCACAAGCAGACAGACACGTTAACACCGGAGGATTGGCACAGGCAGACAGACACGTTACACCGGAGGATTGGCACAAAGACAGACACGTTGACACCGGAGGATTGGCACAGGCAGACAGACACGTTAACACCGGAGGATTGGCACAAGCAGACAGACACGTTACACCGGAGGATTGGCACAGGCAGACAGACACGTTAACACCGGAGGATTGGCACAAGCAGACAGACACGTTAACACCGGAGGATTGGCACAAGCAGACAGACACGTTAACACCGGAGGAAAGGCACAAGCAGACAGACACGTTAACACCGGAGGATTGGCACAGCAGCAGACACGTTAACACCGGACACAGCAGACAGACACGTTAACACCGGAGGAAAGGCACAAGCAGACAGACACGTTAACACCGGAGGATTGGCACAGGCAGACAGACACGTTAACACCGGAGGAAAGGCACAAGCAGACAGACACGTTAACACCGGAGGATTGGCACAAGCAGACAGACACGTTAACACCGGAGGATTGGCACAAGCAGACAGACACGTTAAACACCGGAGGAAAGGCACAAGCAGACAGACACGTTAACACGGAGGATTGGCACAAGCAGACAGACACGTTGGAGGATTGGCACAGGCAGACAGACACGTTAACACCGGAGGATTGGCACAAGCAGACAGACACGTTGACACCGGAGGATTGGCACAAGCAGACAGACACGTTGACACCGGAGGATTGGCACAGGCAGACAGACACGTTAACACCGGAGGATTGGCACAAGCAGACAGACACGTTAACACCGGAGGATTGGCACAGGCAGACAGACACGCACCGGAGGATTGGCACAAGCAGACAGACACGTTAACACCGTTGGCACACAGACAGACACGTTAACACCGGAGGATTGGCACACAGGACAGAACACCGTTTAACACCGTTGGCACAAGCAGACAGACACGTTAACACCGGAGGATTGGCACAGCAGACAGACACGTTAACACCGGAGGATTGGCACAGCAGACAGACACGTTAACACGGAGGATTGGCACAAGCAGACACACGTTATTGGCACAAGCAGACAGCACGTTACACCGGAGGATTGGCACAAGCAGACAGACACGTTAACCGGAGGATTGGCACAGGCAGACAGACACGTTAACACCGGAGGATTGGCACAAGCAGACAGACACGTTAACACCGGAGGATTGGCACAAGCAGACAGACACGTTAACACCGG